AGTTTTGTTGAAATAGTTAAAAATACATTATTTTATTTGTAGCTATGTAATGTCATGTTGATGTTTCATAGTTCTTGTATCTAACAAAGATTTTTTCCTTTTTATTTTTAATAATAAAAGTACATATGACTGGTTTTACTTTAATACCCAGACTTTATATGGCCATCTTCTTCATTTGTCATTTACCTTAATCGAATAATTAATAACCATCAATGTGCTGTTTTTTCTTTTAACAATAATAAAGATCCATGATTTAAAAAACCATATCATTTATAAATGAATGAATTACATGTTAAAAAAAAACCATATCATTTTTTATTGAAAACATCGTTTAATTTACCCAATGACACCAAAAAAAACATAATTAAAATGGTAACTAAAAACCCTAAATTTAGGGATTGTGATTGTGACACATATGAAAGTTTTGGTTATTTTTTAAATTATGTTTTTTTGTGTTATTGGGTAAATTAACCCAAAACATAATATCATTGTTTAAATTAAAACAAACATATGAGCTCATTAAATAATAGTACTTTCCTTCCCTTTTAATAGTTAAAAGATTATAGAAATTAAAATAATTGTAGTACAAATTTGAAGGGAACAAAACAATAAATAAATGAAGAGATTTTGTTAAGATTTTGTAGGGATGACCAAACTGGATTTTCGATTAGATTTCTTAGGTTTTGTATTGAGTTTAGGTTAATTGGATTAAGAATTATTGTACCAAATTCAATCTAATTAAAGTTTGGATCAAGCTTTTTAGGTTTTAGATTGGATTTAAGTTGTTTGGATCATAAATAATTTGACCAAAATAAACTTAAATTTAATTGTATTTGGGTTATACTAAGGTTTTGGATAGGATTCGGTTAGTTGAATTTTTAGAGAAAAATAATAATAATATCTAAAACAAATTCTTAACGCAAATTTATTCAATAAAATAATTCATAAATTTCAAAATAAACAAAAAAACATTATTCTTGATATCTTAACTTTAAAATGAAATAAACGATTTGAAAAGGCGAACAAAATACTAACAGTTCAACTAAAATTATCAAAAAAATCCTTGAAATCCCAAGAGAAATCTGAAAAATAAAGCACACAAATACATATAAATTACTAGAAAAGTAAAATAATAATTTAAATTTAAAAAACTGCTTATATTATTATTTGACTAATCCAAAATTCGGGTTTTATTTGGGTTTTTCAGTTATCTAAAGATCAATCCAAATAACCCAAACTCAAGCCTAAATTAGTATTTATTATTCGATCTAAATAGGTTTTTGTATCAATACAAACCTAAAATTATTCGGGTTTC